TCCCTCCCCCCTACCCCCGGTTCCCCGCTCGATTTCTCGGCTCTCCCACCGCCTCCCTGCGCTCCTTCAGCGCCGATCCCGGATTGCGGCTCCGCCGCTCGGCGCTCGATTGGCGCTGCCCGGGGCCGCCCCGCGCGCCGCTCCAAGATGGCGGCCTCCACCTCCTCGCCGCCCAAAGTGACAAAAGCGGCGGCGGTCCCGCGGCCTCGAGACCGGGACCGGGGTGGGGACGGCGAGACCGGGCCCGAGGCGACCCCCGAGCCCGGTGAGCGGCCCCTCCCCCCGGCTCCGCCGCCTTCTTCTCCCCGTCGCTCTCGGCCCCACCGCGGGGCCCGGTCCGGGGCTGAGGGAGCGCGCTGCCATTCCCGGCGCCGCGCCGCGCTGTGGGGTGAGGACAAAGGAGGGCCGCGGCTCCTCCCGGCCGTCACACGGAGCCGCCGCTGCCCCACGGCGACCCCGGGGACCAACCCAGGGTTGGAGCCCCACAGCCGCCCCGCAGCGGCCCCCAGGCCCCACCCTGGGTTAGGCCCCACGGCCGCCCCAGGCTCTGCTCCGAGGTTGAGCCCTGAAGCCGCCCCATAGCAGCTCCGAAGCCACCCCATAGCAGCCTTAAAGCCACCCCGCTGTGGTCCCCAGGCGGCCCCCAGACCCCACCCTCGGGTTGGGCCCTACAGCAGCCCCAGATCTGGCCCCAGAGCCGCCCGACTGCGGGCCCGGGTTAGGCCCCACCACAGCCCCAGGTCTTCTCTGAGGTTGAGCCCTGCAGCCGCCCCATAGCAGCCCTAAAACCACCCCAGGCAGCCCCCAGACCCCACCCTCGGGTTAGGCCCCCCAGCAGCCCCAGATCTGCCCCACGTTGGTCCCAGGCCCCACCCTTGGCTTTGGCCCCACAGTTGTCCCAGGTCTGCCTCGCAGCTGCCCCAGGCCCCACCCCTGGGTTGGATCCCCACACCCCTGCTCCGCAGTGTGCCCAGGCACCACCCCTGGGTTGGGCTCCTGAGCTGTCCCACAGCAGTGCCGTGTCTGCCCTGCAGTGTCCCCAGGCACCACCCTAGGTTGGGCTCCATAGCAGAGCCAGAGCCACCCCCTGGAGCTGTCACCGTCCCCCCGCAGAGCTCTGTGTTCTTCCACACACCTTACAGAGGGGTTTCAGTAGGGAAAAACCTCCTTTCCCTTCACACAGAGGGACTGGAAATACGGAAAAAACCCTTTTCCCCTCCCACATCTTACTGAGGGGTTGGAAATAGGGGAAAATATCTCTTTTCCTCTCCCACAGAGGAATTAGAAATCGGGAAAATGCCCTTTTTCCCCTCTCGCACAAGGATTGGAAATGAAGAAAAGGCCCTTTTTCATTCCAAAATATCGTCAGGGGGGTAGTTTGGGGCTGATGATTGTTCTTCTCTCGGCAGTTCTGGCCCCAGAGGAGGAGGAGGTGGTGGCCATGGAGGTGGGTTCACCCCCGCCTCCCCCACCGCCACCGCTGCCCAAGAAGAGCTCAGCCCCGGGGCAGTCGGAGCCGCCCGCCCGCATAGGGACCAAGCTGTGCGCCGAGCCGCCCGGCAGCAAAGCAGATCCACACGACCCCAAAAGTGAGTACTGGCAGCACTTCGCCCTGAGGGGAAGAGCAAGGAGGTGTTGCTGGAGCTAGGATGGAGCTGTGCTCTGCGTGTGCTCGTCAGCTCTTGGGAGCTGTGGGTTCTGTGGGTCACTGGGAACCAAGCAGTGCTTGGTGGAGCCTGGTGAGAGGTGTCATGACCATGCTGCGGGTGTTGTGCCCCCTGAAAACTTGGGGGTGTTGTGCCCTGAAAGCCCAGGATGCACTGCCCCAAAACTTGGGGGCGTCGTGCTCTGAAAGCCCAGGGATGAACTGCCCAAAACTTGGGGGTGTTGTGCCCTGAAAGCCCAGGGATGCACTGCCCCAAAACTTGGGGGTGTTGTGCCCTGAAAGCCCAGGGATGCACTGCCCAAAACTTGGGGGTGTTGTGCCCTGAAAGCCCAGGGATGCACTGCCCCAAAACTTGGGGGTGTTGTGCCCTGAAAGTCCAGGGATGCACTGCCCCAAAACTTGGGGGTGTCGTGCCCTGAAAGTCCAGGGATGCAGTCCCCCAGAACTTGGGAGTGTCATGCCCTGCAAGCCCAGGGATGCACTGCCCCAAAACTTGGGGGTGTTGTGCCCCGAAAGCCCAGGGATGCACTGTCCCAAACTTGGGGGTGTTGTGCCCTGAAAGCCCAGGATGCACTGCCCCAGAACTTGGGGGTGTTGTGCCCTGAAAGCCGAGGGATGCACTGCCCCAAAACCTGGGGGTGATGTGCCCTGAAAGCCCAGGATGCACTGTCCCAAACTTGGGGGTGTTGTGCCCTGAAAACCCAGAGATGCAGTGCCCAAAACTTGGGCATTGCACCCCAAAAATCTGAGGATGTTGTGCTCCAGGACTTGGGGAACTTGTGCTGCAAAAACCCAAGGTGGTTGTGCTCTGAAATCCTGAGCATGTTATGCCCTAAAACCTGGGGATGTTGTGCCCCAAAAACCCAAGGATGCTGTGCCTCAAAGACTCAGGGATGCAGTGTCCCAAAAACTCGGAGACTCTGTGTCCCGATGCCCCGGGGATGCTGTGTCCTAAATTCAGTGATGTGCTGCCCTGATGACTTGGGAACATGGTTCCCCAAAATTTCAGAGATGTTGGACCCTGAAAGCCCAGGGATATGATGCTGCAAAAGCTCAGGGGTGTCGTGCCCTTAAAAGCCAGGGGTCATTGTGCTCCAAAAACTTGGGGATCTGATGCCACAAAGACTTGGGGCCATGGTGCCCCAAACTCAGGAATGAGGTACTTTAAACTTGAGGACGTTGTACCCCAAATGTGAGGTGAGGATATTGTGCTCCAAAAACTCAGGAATGTGGTGTCCCCAAAAGTCTGGGGACGTCACACTCCCCCAGAACTTTGGGACTTTGTGTCCTGAATGTCTGGGGACACTGTGTCCTCAAAATGTGGGGGCATGTTGCCTTGAAGGCATGGGGCCATTGTGACAAAACATGGGGCTGTGGTACCCCAAACTCAGGGATGCAGTACCCCAAAAGCGTGGAGACGGTGTCCCCAATACTCAGGGATGTTGTGCCCCTGAAAGCCTGGGGACGTTGCACCCTAAAGATTTGGGTATGCAGTGCCCTGAACAACTTAGGGATGTTGTTCCCTGAACATGGGGCTGCAGTGCACGCCCAAAGCCTGGGGAAACTGCAGTGCAAAAGCTCAGGAATGTTGTGCCTGAAACTCAGACCGTGATGCCCATGATAGCACAGGCCTGTTGTGCCCCAGATTCAGGGCCATGGTGCCCCAAAAACCTTGGGGAAGTGGTGCCTCAAAAAGCTGGAGATGTGGTGCCCCAAACTCAGGGCCACAATGCTCCAAGAACCTGGGGATGTGGTGCTCCAAGAACCTGGGGACATGGTACCCCAAACTTAGGGTCATGCTGCCCCAAAAAGCTGGAGATACGGTGCACAAAAACCTGAGGATGTGGTGCCCTAGGCTCAGGGCTATGGTGCTGGATGGTGGGAGATGGACAGCTGTCCAAAATCAAGTGGAGAGTGCCCTGCCCAGCACAGTTCCCAGTGTTGGGCGGTGGTGGGATCAGGCGCTCATCCACGTTTTCAGGAGTTTCTGCTGAATTTTCAAGAAGAGAGTGGTTGAGTTGTGCTCCTGTATTGTAATGTTGAGTTGCCAGAGCTTGCTGGGATCGACACGTGACTTTTGTCCTCTGCAGAGCACCTCAGTCAGTCCTCTTGCCCTTTCGTAATTAGCATGATAGAGGGATGAAATCTCTGGGTTGGAAAGGTCTTGAAAGATCACAGAATCGTAGAATGGATAGAACTTGGCTTGGAAGGAGCCTGAAGGATCACGTGGAATGGGTTGGGTTTGGATTGGAAGGACCTTGAAAGATCACAGAATCATAGAATGGGTTGCATTTGGATTGGAAGGGTCCTTGAAGACTACAGAATGGTAGAATGGTTGGGTTGGAAGGGTCCTTGTGGTTCTGTGGTCAAGCATTCTACCATTCTGTGGTCTTCAAGGACCCTTCCAACCCAACCATTCTACCATTCTGTGGTCTTCAAGGACCCTTCCAACCCAACCATTCTATCATTCTGTGGTCTTCAAGGACCCTTCCAACCCACCCATTCTACCACTCTGTGGTCTTCAAGGACCCTTCCAACCCAATCATTCTACCACTCTGTGGTCTTCAAGGACCCTTCCAACCCAACCAATCTACCATTCTGTGGTCTTCAAGGACCCTTCCAACCCAACCAATCTACCATTCTGTGGTTCTGTGGTCTTCAAGGACCCTTCCAACCCAACCATTCTATCATTCTGTGGTTCTGTGCTTTTCAGAATGGTAGAGTGGTTGGGTTGGAAGGGTCCTTGAAGACCACAGAACCACAGAATGATACAAGAGTTGGGTTGGAAGGGTCCTCAGAGCCTGCTGTGGGTGGGTACCTCCACGGATGGGCCATAAAACTCATGAGCTTCCTGTTCCATATCCTGATTCCCTGTCGGTTTATCTTTTTCCTCCAATTTCAGCCCAGAACCTGACGACGTGTGAGGTGTGCGGCGCCTGCTTTGAAACCCGCAAAGGTCTCTCCAGCCACGCGCGCTCCCACCTGCGGCAGCTCGGCGTGGCCGAGTCGGAGAGCAGCGGGGCCCCCATCGATTTGCTCTACGAACTGATGAAGCAGAAGGGCAAACCCGATGGGCACCCCATGGCTCCTCCCACCCTCGGCAAAAAATCTGCCTCTCCCAAGGACGGCATTGCCGGTTCCCCGCGTCCCGCGCTGCTCGCGCTCAGCAAAGGCGGTGAGCGCTCGCTGGATGGCCCCATCAACAAAGCCATCAAATCCCCGCCAGGATTCTCCAAGAGCCTCTCGCAGCCCGGATCCCCCATCCTCAAGAAGGTGCCCTCCGTGCTCTCTGGGTCCCCCTCTCCAAAAAACCCCGAGGAGAAGAGCTCGAAGCTGTCCCTGAGCCCTCTGCAGAGCTCCCCAAAGGCGCAGTGGCCACAGGCAGATGAGGAAGGACCTCTCAATTTGAGTGAGTCTCTCTCTTTTTTTCTCTTTCTTTTTTTTTTTCTTTTTTTTTTTTCCTAATCGTTCATGTTTCCCATTAGGTTTTGGGGCTGGGGAAGAGAGGAATCCCTGGGTACTCCTGGTGAGGTTACAGCTCTGAGCTTTGAGGGGAGAGCTTGGTGTGGAAGAAGCAGTTTTGATGGCCACTATTGCTCCAGGACACAGCAACCAGAGGGGAAAGTCCTCCCTGGTGTGATTTCACCTGGTTCTCTACCCTCTGAGGTCCTTATGTCCCCTTCCAATCCTGCTCTCAGCCACAGCCAAACACTTCCATTTGTTCCCTCTTTGTCCCTAAGCTCTGTTGGGGTCTTGTTCTCATATCTTGGCACCAGAGTAGTTTTACAGCAGCAGTCAGCTCTTTGGGCGCCACGTTCCTTGGGCAGCTCAAAGGGATTTGTTTGCCCTGCAGGATTTCTCCCAGCTCTTCCTAGAGCTATTGGGGCTGTAGAACGTGCTCCATTTGGCTAACATTGTGCTTGTCCTGAGCAAAATGCTCTGTGCCCATGATGCTGGGTGGCAGATGGGGACAGCCTCCATGGCTGCCTTCAGCAGAATCACTGAACTGTAGGGGTTGGATGGGACTTCTGGAGATCATTGAGACTAACCCTGTGCTAAAGCAGGGTCCCAGGTTGAGCAGGAAAGCATCCAGGTGGGTCTTGAATATCTCCAGAAGCGACTCCACAACCTCCCTGAGCAGCCTGTTCCAGTGCTCTGTCACTCTGGCAGTAAAGAAGTTCTTCAGTCCTCTTCCCCTTGAGTCCCATTGAGGATTGATTTTGTTGGGCATGCAGCTTTGGGTTCAGTCCATTTCACTTCTCAGTCCCAATGAGGACTGGCTTTGGGTGTGCAGATCTGGTTTCAGTCCCGCTTCCTTTGGAATCCCGCTGAGGATTGGCTTTGTCACTGTGCATGCATCTTTGGGTTGGGTCTCATTCCCTTCAGAGTTCCAGTGAGGATTGGTTTTGTTGTTGGCTACGTATCTGAGTTCAGCCCTGCTCATTTTGGAGTCCCATTGAGGACTGGCTCTGTTGGGTGCCAATCTTTGGGCTCAGCCCTACTCTTTGCATCCCATTGAGGGTGGACTTTGTTGTTGGGTGTGTAGTGCACACCTTCGGCTCCGTGCTCTCCTCCTGCTCCTTGGCACCACCAAACTCCACCCACGCATCCCAATAACCACAGTTCTCTCTTTTTTTTTTTCATTTCCTCCTCTGCAGCAGCCGGGGGGGAGCCGGTGCGGGACATCCGCTGTGAGTTCTGCGGGGAGTTCTTTGAGAACCGCAAGGGTCTGTCGAGCCACGCGCGCTCCCACCTCCGCCAGATGGGGGTGACGGAGTGGTACGTCAACGGCTCCCCCATCGACACGCTGCGCGAGATCCTCAAACGCCGAACTCACCCGCGGAGCGGAGCCTCCAACCCCATGGGCCCCGGGCACAAAGCCATGGCCAAGAGCCTCCTGGCAGCCATGGGACCCCTGGAGCCGCGCGGTCCCGGGGAGCTCCACATCCCGACTCTGCCCAAGAAGGTCCAGCAGCCTGGCAGTCCCCTGGGGCAGTCTCCTACCTCGTCCCCACCTCCCACTGCCCGGAAGATGTTTCCAGGCCTCTCTCCTCCCTCCTTGCAGAAGAAGCTCAAACACGACCAGATGAGAGTGGAAATCAAGCGTGAGATGATGACGGGGGGTCTCCACGGAGAGCCCCACCCCTCCGACCAGGCTTGGCCACCGCTGGAGGAGATGTCACCCTTGAACCTCTGTAAGTGCGTGGCTGCCACCTTTCCCCTTCCATGGTCTTGTGGGGATCAGGCACACTCCGTGCTGGGGAGGGGAATGGGGGATCTAAGGTCACTTCCAACTCAACCCATTCTGTGGTTCTGTGATTTTCAAGGATCCTTCTAACCCAATCCATTCTATCATTCGATGATCTTCAAGGTCCTTTCCAGGCCAACTCATTCTATCGTTCCATGGTTCTAAGATCTTTAAGGTCCCTTCCAACCCAGCCCTTTCTATGGTTCTCTGACGTTTGATGACCATTCCAATTCAACCAATTCCAGGATTCCGTATTTCTATGATCTTCAAGGACGCTTCCAACCCAACCCATTCTATGATTCTATGACCTTTAAGGGCCCTTCCAACCCAACCCATTCTATGGTTCTATGACCTTTAAGGGCCCTTCCAACCCAACCCATTCTATGGTTCAATGACCTTTAAGGACCCTTCCAACCCATTCTATGGTTCTATGACCTTTAAGGACCCTTCCAACCCAACCCATTCTATGGTTCTATGACCTTTAAGGACCCTTCCAACACAACCCATTCTATGGTTCTATGACCTTTAAGGGCCCTTCCAACCCAACCCATTCTATGGTTCTATGACCTTTAAGGGCCCTTCCAACCCATTCTATAGTTCTGTGATCTTTAAGGACCCTTCCAACCCAAGAGTTCTATGATGGATGGTGTTCTCTTTGGGTGGAAGCATCCCGCTGTGGGATCTGCTTGTGGATCGTCTTCTTCTGTGGGTTGTGCTGTGGGATATGGGGGCAGGTGGGCTCAGACCCACTCCCCCTGACGCCAGCTCTCTCCCTGCAGCCTCCCGAGCTGACCCGGTGCGGGACATCCGCTGTGAGTTCTGCGGGGAGTTCTTTGAGAACCGCAAGGGTCTGTCGAGCCACGCGCGCTCCCACCTCCGCCAGATGGGGGTGACGGAGTGGTCAGTGAACGGCTCCCCCATTGACACGCTGCGCGAGATCCTCAAGAAGAAATCGAAGCCTTGCGTCATCAAGAAGGAGCCCCACACCTCCATCATCGAAACCCCCAAAGGGTTTGGGGAGGAGGGGTTGGACCCCAAGCCCTCTGGAAAAGTGCTGCAGGCCATGGCCCTCCCTCCACTGGGCGGGCGGACGGGGAAACCCGGCGGCTCCAGCATCGGCCGCGAGCTCTCGCTGTCGCCGCTCACTGCCAAGCCCCACGGCGCCTTCCTGACACCGCTGGCCACCAAACGGCCGCTGCAGGACGACCGCCTGGGTCCCCACCCCGAGGTGAAGCACAAGGCCTACATTCAGACCGAGCTGCCCTTCAAAACCAAGTCCGTGCACGACAAGCCCACGCACACATGTAAGTGTGGGGAGGAGACACGTGGTGTGGCTTGTCCAGGTTCCTGGAGGCTGCAGGGAGGGGCTGGATGGTTGGCATGCGTTGGCCATGGCCACCCGTCAGCTAGGTGTTGTGTTGGTCATGACCACGTGTTGGCCATGATGTTGCATTGGCCATGGCCAACTATCAGCTATGGTGTCGTGTCGGCCATGGTGTTGTGTTGGCCATGGCCACGTGTCGACCATGGTGTTGTGTTGGCCGCAGTCACACCATCCATGGGGCACCATACTTGGATATTGGGCTCGGGTTTTTTGCTGTGATATCTCTGATAGGGAGCAGAGATTTGGGGACCATCCACCACCCACATCCCTTTTAGCTGTATCTTGGAGCCTTGACCTTCTGACAGGACCATCCCACAGCTCACTGCCACCTGCCACACGCTGGGGGGGGGCGGATTCCCACCCAGGGGTGGCGGTGGGGGGAATGGGGCACATCTCACCCCCCTGCTCACCACCTGCCCCTGCTCCCCCAGCCACCGAAGCGTGCTGCGAGCTCTGCGGCCTCTACTTTGAGAACCGCAAGGCTCTGGCCAGCCACGCACGGGCACACCTCCGGCAGTTTGGTGTCACCGAGTGGTGCGTCAACGGCTCGCCCATCGAGACGCTCAGCGAATGGATCCGGCACCGGCCGCAGAAAGCTGGCGCGTATCGCAGCTACATCCAGGGCGGCCGACCCTTCACTAAGAAATTTCGGAATTCTTCGCACGCCCGAGATCACGACGGAGCACGGAGGATGCCGCTGAGCCTGCAGCACGGCGGGATGGCCCTGCTGAGCAAAGGGCTGGCGGCGGAGCTGGCGCACGGAGAGCCCTGCAAGATCCTGGATGGCACCGGGGAACGGCCCATGGTCACCTCGCCCCTCTCGCTGGTGAAGATGGAAGAGCATCAGCGCACGAATTTCCACAGTGAGTTGGGAGAGGGGCGCAGCTGTTGGGATCCGCTTCCCTCGGGAGGGGGACTGGTTGGGATCTGTTTCCCTTGGGATGTGGTTCTCCTGGTGGCGGCAGCCATTGGGATCTGGTTCCCTTGGGATTTGGAGCCGTTGGGATCCTGTTTCCTTGGGAAATTGGAGCTGTTGGGACATGGTTCCGTTAGGAATGGGGGCCCCTCCTGTCGTCCCGAGCACTGTTGCTCCAAAGCAGAAACATTGTGTCATATCACACAGCTCTCAGCACCACGGGAGTGTTCCCGCTTCCCCCCTGATGCTCCATTTCCCTCCCATTATTCCCCCCTAGAGTTTGAGCGGAGGCAGGCAAGGCCCCTGGACCCCCCCCTGCACCGGGAGGAGGAGGGGGCCGACTTCCAGCAGAAGATGGAGGAGACCCGCCAGCCCCCACCCAGGATGAGGCCGGTGCCCTCGCTGGTCCCCCGCCCGCCGCAGACCTCCCTGGTGAAGTTTGTGGGTAACATCTACACCCTCAAATGCAGGTAGGCCATCCCCTTTTGGACCCCAGCCCACCATAGGCTTAGCTTTTGGGCTCTCTTTGGGCTCCTTGTGGCTTTCTTTCAGGTTCCCCTTTGGGTGCCCTCTGGGTTTCCTTTGGCTTCTGTTTTGTGGGCCTCCCTTTTGAGACAGCCTTTTTGTTTCCTTTGGGCTCTTTATGGCTTTCTTTGAGACTCCCCTTTGGTTTACTTAGAGTTTCCTTTGGGCTCCCATTGAAGCACTCCCTCTGGGCTCCCTTTGAGTCTCTTTTGGGTTTCCTTTGGGCTCCTCTTTTGGGCTCTTTTTGGGGGTTTTCTGTGGGTTTTCTTCAGGGCTCCCTTTTGGTTCCCGTTGGGCTCCCCTTTGGGGGCTCCTGTTGGGTTTCTTTTGAGGCTTCTTTTGGCTTTTTTTGACGCTCCCTTTTGGGGTTTTCCCTTTTACTTCCTGGTGGGCTCTCCTTTGGAACTCCCTTTGGGTTGTCTTTTTGGGTTTCCTTTGGGTTCCCCTTGGGTTTCCTTTGGATTCCTCTTGGGTTCCTCATTGGGCTCGCATTGGCTTCCCTTTGTGTCTCTGAGCTCTTCATTCTTGGGCAGTCCACCCTTCATCACTGCACCTGGGGGTGTGGGACCCCTTCCTCCTTGCTTTTCTGGGTGCGGTGCCCCCAACCCCCCCTCCCCACAGCCTCTGGGCTGCTAAAGGAGCCTTGGACTGATCTGCTGCCCCCGTGTCCCCACAGGTTCTGTGAGGTGGAGTTCCAGGGCCCCCTCTCCATCCAGGAGGAGTGGGTGCGACACCTCCAGCGACACATCCTGGAAATGAATTTCTCCAAAGCAGACCCCCTGCGGGGGGACGCCCCGGCCCCCGAGCCCCCCGCCGTGGCCGAGGCTCAGTAACGGAGCCCCCACCCCGGGGCAATGGAGCCGAACCGGGGCACCCTCCGCCCCCCACCCCGTGCCTGCGTGTCCCCCACGGAGCAACCTCAGCCCCCCCCCCCCTTCCTCTACCCCAGTGCCGGGCTGGATGGGGGGCACCCGGCCACAAGCACTACAAGGATCAAAGCCCCCCGGTCCTCCCTCCCCGGGGGTGGTGGCACTCGAGGACGGGGCAGGGGACAGCGGTGGCACCACGTGTGCCCTCCCTCCCGACACCGCGGGTCCGGTTCAGCCCAAAGACGCGGGAGCTGTGTTGGCTTCCACCGGTTCAGGGACACGGGGAGCGAGCGTGCGTTTGTATATGGCCCGAGAGTTGATGTATATTCGATTCCTGCAGGCAGCGCCACCTGTAGTTCCTGGCGCTGCCGGAGCCCGTTGCTCCGGGGTTGCATGTTGCCCCGCTCCCCCTTCCCAAAGGAAAACACTTGGCTCCCCGTCACCACCCCCCGACTCCCAGTTTCCAATGGGACCGTGGGCTGCGGTGATGCTGGGGGGGTCCTGGGGTGGGGGGAGGGGGAATCTGCGGAGCCGCACGTCCCCCTCCCCCCCCTCCCCGGTCCTCCTCACTGTTGCTATATTTTTGTTTGTTTTTTGTTTGTTTTTTTCCCCTTTGTCTAGCTGCATAGACCTTCGACTTTTTTAACTCTAGTTTTGTGTAGAAAATTTAAGGAGCATTCATTTTTATTTCGAAGTCCCGAGCCCAGCACGGCTCGGAGGGAATTTACCTTTTAACTTTTTTCATTGGGCATATTCTGGTTATTAATGTACCCGGGAATATGTACATTAGATTAAACTTCTGGAAACAACCCCAGGGAAGTGTGTGAGTGCACGGGGGTCCTGACAGGGGATTTTTTTGGGGGGGAAATGAGGTGGTTTTGGTGCCAGAGGCGTGGTTGGAGCTCACAGGGTTGGGAAGAGTGGGGTGAGGACGTGGCTGTGAGTCAGGGCTTGGGAGCATCGTAAAGGGGACATCAGGACATGGCTGATGGCGTGGTATGGGGTCAGGATGGGGATGTTGAGATGGGGATGTGGGGCACATGGGGTCAGGGTGAGGGCATGACCCAGAGCTTGGGATGTTGGGGTCAGGGTGAGGCTGTGTCAGTGGGGACGTTGAGGTCAAAGCGTGGCCGTGACCCCGGGCATAGGGACACCAGGGGCGGGATGGGGACGTCAGGGTGGCCGTTATGGCACAGGGACAGGGGTCGAGAGGAGGCAGTGTCACGTGGCGTGTGGGGGGGAAGATGTCGGGATGGGGGGACATCACGACATGGCCGTGTCCGACGACATAGGTGCACCGGGGTCAAGGTGAGGCTGTTCCGTGGGGATATGGAGGTCGGGGTGAGGCCGTGCCATGGGGACACGGGGACACGGGGTCGGACGCAGCCGCGCCCCCGCGGTTCCGGCACTGGCGCGGTTTCGGCGCGCGCGTTCCCCGCTGGGGGCGGAGCCTCGCGGCCTCAGCCAATGGTGACGCGCGGCGCTGAGGGAGGGGAGCGGCCAAACGTCGCACCTGCGCGGTGGGGGCGGTGCCGGCGGCTGCGGGCCGTTCTGCCACGCGATTGGTGGAGGCAGCACTCAGCCCTTCCCACGCCCCGGTTGGCCAATCAGAGTAGAGAACGGCGGCGGCACCGCCTCCCTGCCAGCCGACCAATCAACGAACGTTCCCTCGGGGCCCACCGGGAAAGCCGACGATTGACACGCGCATTCTCCAATCGTCAGCGGGACCGCCCTGCGGGAGGTGGAGACGCGACCAATGATCTCCTCCGACCGCCCGGAGGCCGGACCAATGAGCGCGGCGGGAGGGCGGGGAGAGGACACCTTCCGACCAATGAGCACGGCGGGGAGGCGGGGCGGTGCCGCCGGTACCGTTGGGCGCAGAGGCGGCGGCGGGCGGCGGGCGGCGCCGCCATTATGAGTTACTCAGGTGAGGGCGCGGCGCAAAGATGGCGGCGGGGGCGGCCTGGGGCTTCGGGGAGGGCCGGGGGGCGGCGGGACGTCCCGGAAACGGGGATTTGGGGCCGAACGTGCGGGGTTCTGTCACGGTCCGGTTGGCGGGCGGCCTCACGGAGCTGAGCGCAGGGGATGATCGGCGCCCGCCGTCCGTGCGCTCCTAACGCGGGCCAGGACGCCGTCGGCCCTCTTGGCCACCTGGCTCACCGTCGGCTCACGTTCAGCCCAGCATCAACCAACACCCCCAGGTCCCTTTCCTCTTCACACACATCCAGCCACTCAGCCCCAAGCCTGCAGCGCTGCATGGGGTTGTTGTGGCCAAAGTGCAGGACCCAGCGCTTGGCCTTGTTGAACCTCATCCCATTCACCTCAGCCCAGAGATCCAGCTTATCCGGATCCCTCTGAAGGGCCTCCCTCCCCTCAGGCAGATCCACACCACTCCCAACTTGGTGTCATCTGCAAACGTACTCAGGGGACACAAAGTCCCCTCATCCAGGTCATCAACAAAGATATTAAACAAGGTCGGCCCCAGCACCGACCCCTGGGGACAGACACCACTTGTAACGGGTCTCCAGCTGGATTAACTCCATTAGCCGCTACCCGTTGAGCACAGCCCTCCAGCCAGTTCCTTACCCAAAGCAAGATGTACCTGACCAGGCCACAGGCAGCCAGTTTCCCCAGGAGAATGCTGTGGGAGACAGTGTCAGAGCTTTGCTGAAGTCTAGGTAGACTGCATCGACAGCCTTTCCGTTATCTACCAATCTGGTCACCCAGTCATAGAAGGAGATGAGGTTTGTCGAGCACGACCTGCCTTTCGTGAACCCATGCTGGCTGGGCCTGATCCCCTGCATGCCACGCACACACTGTGTGATTGATCTCACCCAAGGTGATTTGCTCCATAACTTTCCCTTGCACCGAGGTCAGGCTGACAGGCCTGTAGTTCCCCAGTTTCTCCTTACAGCCCTTCTTGTGGGTGGGAGTCACATTGACAAGCCTCCAAGGGAGGGGCTGTGAGTGCTGGGATGGATTCGGGGTCACCTTCTGGGGATCTTCCAGGGCTGTTCTTGGAACACGCTTGGGGTCTTGGGACTCTTCTGAAGCTCCTTTGGTTCTCCTTTTGGGGCTCTTTTGGTGGCTGCTTTGGTTCTCCATTGGAGTTCTTTGGGATCTCCTTTTGGGTCTCATTTGGGGGCTCTTCTTGGAGCTTTGTTGGGATCTTGAGGCTCCTTGGGGGCTCTTTGTGGCTCCTTTGGGGGTTCCTTTGGGCTCTCCTTAGAGCTTTTTGGGATCTTTTGGGGTTCTTTTTGGAGCTCCTTTTGGTGGCTCCTGTGGTGCCCTTTAGGGTCTCCTTTTGGGCTCATTTGTGTGCTTTTGGTGCTTCATTGGGATCTTGAGGCTCCTTTGGAACTCCTTTTGGGGTTCTTTGGTTCTCCTTTTGGGGGCTCATTTGGTTCTCCACAGCAGCTCTTTGGGGTCTCTTCTGGGGGCTCTTCCTGGAGCTTTGCTGGGATCCTGGAGCTGTTCTGGAGCTCCACTGGAGCTCTTTGCAGTCTCCATTTGGGAATCTTTTCAGAGCTTCTTTTGGGGGCTCGTTTTGGATTTTCTTGGGGTTCTTTTAAGGCCAGAGAGATGTTGTCTCACAAAGAATGCCACGTTCTGATTTAATTCTCCAAATCTTTACCTGCAAAATGCTCGACTGTGGGGTTGTGTGCACCCTTTCTGCTCCCTTGTCTTGGAGGTCTGTGTAGGTGCCTCCTGCTTCCAATTTTTGGTGTTAAACCAAAAACACTGGCACTTTCAGGTAGGACAGCGCTGCTGCGTGAAGAGGTTCTGTGTCACAGTGTGGTATGGCAGAAATGGGAGCTGAAAGAAAAAACAGGACCTGATTCAGGGAAAGGACCTGCATCATCCGAAGGTCAACAGGTTGACCATGGGCCAGCAGTGTGCCCTCGTGGCCAAGAAGGCCAGTAATGGCCAGCAGGCTGACTGGGGGCCAGCAGTGTGAACCTTATGGACAAGAAGGCCAGTGGTGGCCAACACGTTGGCCATGAGCTCTTTCCTCTGGGTTAGGAATTGTTCAGAAGTTGTTTGTAGATTGGATTTGCCACCATTTATTTTTTTCAGGGTGTTGCTCCTTTTTGGTGGTAAACAAAACCAATTGTGAGAAGTATGGCTCTGATTACTTCTTCTGTCTTCTTTTCCAGGTTATGGAGACTGGAACTCTGGGACAAACAGAGGCAAGTACACTGCAGCTTAAGCGGGTTTGTTAGCTTCAGGTTCTGAAGGATATAATACAGAGTCTGCATTCCCTCTTCTTTTATTTTTAGGTTTCTTTGCAAACTTTATTTTAAAATTCTTGTCGAGCTGTTAACAACTTCCTTCCCCAGTTTTTTAGGAAGGGCCACATGGCTGAGGATTCAGGTTTCTGTTCCAGCCCACCGTGATATTGCTGCCCAGCTGAAGGCTAAAAAATGGCCTAAAATGGATTTTGGCCATCAGTGTTAACCCAACGAGGCTGATTTTTAGAGGCAGTGTGTTGGGTGCATTCGTTCACCCATGCACCTCAACTCCAATTAAAATATTAGCTGCGCCAGATCACCAGGAATGAGAGCTCTCTATTTTTTTCTTGCAGGGTATGAGAGCTACAATTATGGCTATGGCTATGGGCAGGACAACTCGGGCAACTATGGCTACGGCATGGCTGCCTCCAACTCGTGGGATATGGGCAACTCAGACATGGACATGAACCCCGACGGTGCTGGCAGTGCCGACACCGTCATTGCCAAAATGAACCAGCGCCTGGACATGGTGTCCCACCTGGATGCTGACAGCATGCAGGGTGGGCACTACGGCTCCGGCGGGGACCGGTGAGTGGGAAAATCATGGAATGATTGAATAGATTGGGTTGGAAGGGATTTTAAAGATACTAGAACAATAAAACGGTTGGGTTGGGAGAGTTCTTAAAGATAATAGAATCATGAAATCATGGAATAGTTGAGTTGGAAGAGTTCTTAAGGGTCAGAGAACCACGGAATCACAGCAGAGATGGAATCATCCTTAAAGATCATAGGACCATGGAATGGTAGAATGGTTGAGTTGGAAGGGTCTTTAAAGATCATAGAACTATGGAATCACAGCATGGTTGGGTTGAAATTGTCCTTAAAGGCCATAGAACCAAGGAACGACTGAATGGTTGGGTTGGAGAGGTCCTTAAAGGTCATAGAACTATAGAATCACAGCATGGTTGGGTTGGAATTGTCCTTAAAGATCATCCACTCCAAGTTCTTTTCCTGGAGGAAAAAGTAATCCGTTAAAATGACCCAAAATAAATTGCTGCCAGTGTCAGCTTTTTGCCTGGTAAAAGTGGGTGTGCACAGGTGTCCCCAGATGTCCAGGAATGGGACAGGAGCTCTAGCTGGGCTGTTTCCCCACACAGCTGATAGCATGGGTTCCTCTTGGTGTTTTGGGGTCTTTTAGGGCGTCCTGGGCACTCTCAAAGCAATGAGGAGTTTGGGGGCTCAGTTTCTTTGTTTTTTCCATGATGGGGCTTTGGTTCTTCTACCATGCGTGGAGGTGGATAGGGACATTGCAGCTGTGCCTTATCCTAGCCCTTGTCCCACAGAGTGGAAACAGTTCCACACTCAGTGATACACTGAAGTGTTTAAAACACCAATAAAAACCCATTTTGAAGCATTTTGTTGGTTTAAGCTCTGCTGGGCTCTAACACAGTGCCAACACTATCCCAGAATCCCCAAACCAGCAGAGTTAGAAGGGACTTCTGGAGAGCAGAGGACATCATTGGCCTTCTTGGTTGTGAGGGCACTCTGTTGGCCACTGTTGGCTTTCTTGGCTGTGAGGGAACCCTGTTGGCCACCGTTGACTTTCTTGGCCACAAGGGCACCCTGTTGGCTCGTGGTAAACTTATTGGCCACCATTGGCCTTCTTGGCAATACTCTCACTCCATGGTCACTCTGTTGGCCACCGTTGGCCTTCTTGGCAATGTTCTCACTTCATGGTCACCCTGTTGGCCACTGTTGGCCTTCTTGGCAATACTCTCACTCCATGGTCACTCTGTTGGCCATCATTGGCCTTCTTGGCAATGTTCTCACTTCATAGTCACCCTGTTGGCCACTGTTGGCCTTCTTGGCTATACTGTCAGTCCATGGTCACCCTGTTGGCTATCGTTGGCCTCCTTGGCAATAATCTCACTCCATGGTCACTCTTTTGGCCACCACTGGCCTTCTTGGCAATAATCCCAGTCCGTGGTCACTCTGTTGGCCACCATCGGCCTTCTTGGACCCAAAGGCATGCTGCTGATCCTTCTCTCTCCACAGGTACGACTCATACGAATCCTACGACTCGAGGTCCTCAATGAACGACCGGGACATGTACCGCTCCGGTTACGACTACAACGAGAACGAGAACGACAACGCCTACGACAGTCACTACGACGGTCACTACGACGACCACTATGAAAGTCACTACGACAGCTTCTATGGGAACCGCAGGGACCAGTACCAGCACAGGGCACGGGATGGCTTTGGCCAACGGGGTCAGAACTGGGCGCGGGACGGGCGCAACACCAGACCCATGGCTTCACCGTACTCGGGGCGCATGGGCGGGCAGTGGAACGACGCGCCGCGGGGCATGGGCCCCCACGGCTCCTCCCGCCTGCCTTCCCTCTTCTCCCACAACATCATCCCGGAGCTCGGCATGTTCCAAGGGATGCGAGGATTTTCGGGGAACATGCGCTTCGGAGGAGGCATGATGAAGCAGAGGATGAGGAGAAACTGGAAAATGTGGGATTCGGACTTTAAAGTGAGTACTTGTGCAACATCCTCCCAACTCGTTTAACTCGAGCGGATGTTATGCAGCCCCGTAGGGAAATGGTTGTCCTACAAAAGGCTCCAATGCACGCTCTGGGAGGTGGTCATGTGTAGTTCCACACGTTGCTGGCTTGACTTTGTAGTGTGTATCTCCTAAGGACAGACCGAGGAGCGTTCGTATGTGCAGTGCTTTAATCTGAAAACATTTATTTCCTAAAGGTAGGAGAATATCATTGTCATTTTTTACTTAATCTCCTGTTTTATAGCATATAGAGGTGGTGGGCTGTGTCCTGCCTGATGGACTGTGCTGACGAGTAATTGGTGAAACAAAGCACTGCTGGGTGAGGAGAGCGCCGCCCTCACAGTGGTGATGAACCTCTCTCTCCTCTTGCAGCCTCAGAAGAAGAAAATGAAGAAGGATCTCACCGGAAAGAAGCGGAAGCAAACCAGCAGCTCAGATGAACCCGACAGCAAGGCGGCGAAGACAGATGGCTCCGAATCTGACTCTGACAATGGTGAGGGCAGAGGTCCCCAAAGGGGCAACAGCCACCTCCCTTTGCTAGGTGTGGCAGTGGGACCTCAGCTGGCTTCTGACTGTGCTGTTCCTTTCAGAGGAAGGAACCGAAGGAGAATCGGGAGAAAAAGAGGAGAAAGAAGGCTCCAGAGGTGTAAGTAACTCTTGAAAAGTTGTAGTTCCTCATAATTAAGATTGTCAGTTTTAGTTGGAGGCAAAGCAATGCAGTGAGGGCAGGTCACCTGAGGAGAAGTGACAACACACATCAATACTGGTTGTGGGCTGGGCTGCCACAAAGGAGCTCTGGAGGGGTGAACCTGGGGTCCCAGTGGTCAACAGTTGAGCCAGCAGCAAGCCCTTGTGGCCAAGAAGTCCAGTGGTGGTGGCTGATGTGTGATTCTGGCTGGCCTTAATGTCCCAATCTTGCATTTTAGGAAGGGGATGATGAAGAAGGTCGAGACTCAGAGAAAGGTGAGTTGGTGTGTGTGCCTAGCAGCTCACAGGAAAGGGAGCAGAGGGATGGTGTGTGCTCTGAATGGGCACATGGAGTAGTGCCCACCACCAGCAGAGGGCTCTGACATGGCCAGGAGAGAGATTTAAGGCTGAATCTCTGGTTTATTCAGATTCCTCCAGTTGTTGGAGTCCACTTACAACCCAACAATTTTACAGTTTTGTAATATTTAAGGACCCTTCCAACCCAACCCATCGCATGATTCTGTAATCTTTGAGGACCCATCCAACCCATCCCATGGTTCTGGGATCTTTACGGACCAATGCAACCCAAGCTGATTCTCTAAAGTAATGGTGATGACAATTAGTCCCCCTTACCCAAGCGAATCTGTAAGTAATTAATTTAAAACCTTCTAAAACCGGAAGTGGTAAACACTAATTAAAATAAAGAGCCAGGAAACCACCTTGAGTGTGTTTGTCCTCCAGTGCCACATCCCCCAAACAGGAATCCTAAATCTGAGGTACATTTGTCCCTGCCTGGAGAGAGCAGCTCCTCGACTCGAGCATCTCTCTGACGAGCAATTTTGGGCCAACCACTGATCTTGTCCAGGGCAGTTCTCTTGAATCAGGTGCTGTCCTCAAGTAGTGCCCTGAAATGCAACCTGCTTTAAACACTTAGGTGCTTTAACAATTCAAGAAGAGATCAGTCAAATCAAACGCAAATTACAGGCGGGCAAGAAAACTCAAGAGAGGCAAAAGAAGAGGCACCGAGATCGCATGGTGGAAAGGTAATGTCTCTTATTTTATTTCATTAAGTGATGTTGCTTCCTTCTCTGGGAGGAATGCCATGGTTGCAGGCTGGGTCCTTTCTTTGTTCCACAATTTTCCCAGTGCTGTGTTTCTTCCTGCCCATCTCCTTGACTGTACTGAATATTGGATGCATTACAGTTGTGGCAAACTCAAGTTGGCAACATCCAGCCACGTTGATGGAGAAATGGGCAAATCTCCAGGGGACATCCCACGAATGCTTAGTGGAGTTGGGGAGAAGCTCAGGACTCGAGTTGTAGGCAGCTCTGCCTTTCTGTTGAATGAGTGGCACTTGTCACAGAGATCAGGTTTTAAAGTAACTCTAAAAGGGCTGCAACAGAAATTGGGAAGGGGCGGATATTGTCAGCATAAAACCTAACGAGGTACACGGTGTGTCATTGAACCAGAGCCTTTTTTTAACCAACAAAGTATTGCCACTTCCACTGACAAACAACACCAACTCTTGCCTAAAAAAGTGGAGATTTGTGCAAAAAATGTCACTTGACAAAGAATTTGTTCTTAAGCTTTAGAGCTCCTTCAGGTAGTTGTCCTCCGAGAGGAACTGATGCCTTCTTCCCACAATAGAATTCTGTCCCTTTCTCCCAGCCAGGATACATACTCAGGGAGAATCGTCTTAATTCATAATTAAAGCTTCACTTTAATGATCGAAAAAAGAATTTTTAAGATTTGGAAAGGTTTAAAAAAATTTGGCCTCAAGTTTTTTTGGTGTGACATTCATCCTGAGTTGTTCCTTACTGTTAGCATTTGTTTCCAGTCTGACCTCTTTGAGTATTAGCTGGATTTCTTTATTGTGAAGCTCTCTGTAGTATTTCTTAAAGATGGGGACGCTTTCCTGTGCAACCCATTGTAGGGAAACCCACTGTAGGGAGGTTGGACTGAGAGCTGAGCTCCAGAGGTCCCCTCTGGTTCCGTGGTTTGTGAAAGAATCCCAACATCTGAGCACAAACCCAGCCCCTTTCCCCTTTGCCCCCAGGCTGCGTTCCCCACTCTGATGTTTGTCTGCGTTGCCCCCCAGCATTTGGGTTCTGGGATGGAAGCTTCCATTGGCCATCCCTCCAACTCACACCCACTGTCCCAACAGGATCCAGTACGTTTGTTCCCTGTGCAAATACCGCACCTTCTATGACGACGAGATGAACAGTCACCTAGAGAGCAAATTCCACAAGGAACATTTCAAATTTGTTGGAACCAAGTTGCCCCAGCAAACAGCTGACTTCCTGCAGGTGAGCACTGCTGAAGTTTCAGTCCTCTTGAATGAGGTTTGGGTGATTTTTGTGTTGTTTTTCTTTTTTTCAGAGCTGCTGCTCCTAACAAATACTCTTGCCTTCCAGGAATATGTTGCCAATAAAACGAGGAAAACTGAAGAGCGCCGTAAAGCAATTGAGGACATCAACGCAGTTATCCAGCAGATCTATAGGGACCAGGATCTTACACAAGGTGAGTTCTCACCCACGTGTAGTCCCTTTGTGATTGGTTATTAATTAGTTTTGCTGTGGCTCACTGATTGAGCATTCGTGGTGGATTTGATGTTTATCAACATGGAATAAAAATGGAGCTTGAATGTGGTTTCGAATGAGATAATTAAAGTGGTACAACAATATTTGTCCAGTATTTACTGACCTTAGAAGAAAATTCTGGATTAAGGTTCCTTCCAACCCAAACATTCCATAGGGCTGTGATCTTTAAGGACTCCTCCAGCCCAACTGATTCTATGATCTTCAGAGACCCTTCCAGCCCAAGCCATTCAGTGATCTTCAAGCACCCTCCCAGACCAATCCATTCTATCATGTCATGGTTCTGTGACCTTCACGGACCCTTCCACCCCAATCCATTCTTTCACTTTCTGGTTCTGTGATCTTCAAGGACCCTTCCAACCCAACCTGAAGGTTGGATACCCATGAGTTATCCTCCGTGTTTGTTTCCCCTTCCCCTCAGCCCCTGTCCTGCCCCTTGGGAAGACTCCTAGTGCACAGTGAAATGAATTTCTGGTAGAAACATGATGCACATGGGGCTCACCCCGTTCTGATATTCCCTTCCAGACATTGGTATGGAGCACTTCATCAAGAAGGTAGAGGCTGCTCACTGCGCTGCGTGCGACCTCTTCATCCCCATGCAGTATGGCATCATCCAGAAGCACCTGAAGTCACTTGACCACAACCACAACCGCAGGGTGAGTGCTGCCTCCTTCCTGCCCTAGGAATCCCTTTTTATTTAAATACATACATATTTTTTTGGGAGGCTCCAGCCACAAGAACAGCAGAAATGTGGATTTGTTGGCTCAGGCGGTTCCTGAAAATGGGGAGAAATATTTTTCTTCACCTTTGGTTCTGTCTGCAAAGAGGCAGCGCTGAGTTTTGAGGGTCCTGTGTCACTTCTGTGAAATTGGGCAAGGCGTTGATTAAAGCAGCTTCAGCAAAGCCCTGCAGTTCCTTCTGAGCATGAGACCTCATGCCTCTCTCCGTGGTGACACCGATGCCTCACGTGGACAAAACGTGTGTTTATTTCTCTACCCCACACAGGCCATGATGGAGCAGTCCAAGAAATCCTCCCTGGTGGTGGCCAGGAGCATTCTGAACAACAAGCTGATCAGTAAGAAGCTGGAGCGGTACCTGAAGGTGGGTGTGCAGAGCGGCTCTGCGCGGTGTAGTTCTGTCCATAGTTGAGCTTTGGCACTTCATTGCATTTTGGTAACACCTTTGGATCCCTCATTGCTGATTACAGGTTCTTCTGCTCTGTGTGGTGCTCTCTGTGGATGGAAGCACCCACAGAGCCCAAGAGCTGTGTGGTTTGTGCAGATCTGTGCTGAGTTTAAAGCTGAAACTTTTGGGGGTGGTTTGCACACAGCTGCTGTGACCCGGTGTGAAGGGTTTGTCAGCAGGGAAATGTTTGCCTTTTCTTGCAGGGTGAGAATCCTTTCACAGATGACCCCGAAGAAAAAGAGGAGCACGAGGAGGGAGAAGGGGGAACAGCTGGGAACGTGGAGGAAGGGACAGCAGAAGGAGGAGACGAAAACAAGGATGAGGAGGAGAATATGGAAGAAGAGAATGTGGACGATGAGAACAAGGAGGAAAACGTGGGCGATGAGAACAAGGAGGAAGAGAATTTAGACAATGAGAACAAAGAGGAGGAAATTTTAGACGATGAAAACAAAGAGGAAGGAAATCTGGAAGAGGAAAGCAACGATCCCAAGGAGAACCCAGAAGGAAATGAAAATGAGGAGGAGGAAGAAAAAGGGACAAAGAGGGAAACTGAGGCCCAGGCAGAAGCACAAGAAGTGGAGCTGGGCGCAGGGAGCAGAGGGGGGGAGGAGGAGGAGAGCTGGCAGCCTGCTGGGGAATCGCTGCCGGAGGACGAAGAGCAGCAGCCAGCAGAAGGTGAAGAGGAGGAGGAGGAGAGTGAAGAAACCACTGCTGCTCCTGAGGATGAGGATACGGCATAAAACATTGGATAGGAAAGCTGACACAAAAGAACTGGCATCTTTTTTTAAAAACATTGAAAAGAAGCATAACTGTATCTGTGAATTTGATAGCACATGTTGAGTTACCGTTCCACTAAACTCATGTAGGCAGTGGAAGCCTTTAACTGTAAAGTGATTGGGGAAAAATAGATTCCTATTTTATTTTTTGTTCTGTTTTGTTTTTGTGGTTTTGGTTTTTTTTTTGTTTTTTTTTTGTTTTTTTTAACCAAATCTTCATTTGAGTAGCTAGGTTTTGTGTGGTCTGGTTTTTTAGATGCCTTTGTACTAGGAGAACTTCCTCTGAGCATGTGTACCAACCAGCGCATCGTCACCACCTGGCAAATGAGATCTCTTCTCTCTCCCCCCTTAAAATTTTTCTATATTTAATGAAGATGTGGTTTGTCCCCTCAGACTGTCTGCCTGGAGCCAGCGGAAGTTCCCTTGCAGGGCGTTCATTTCTGCGATGTACGCTGTGAGGTTCTGCATCATCTCTGTGTGACTGTAATATTCCTCCCTCCCCCCCCTCCCCGCCCCATGTTTTAATGCAGAGCGAAACTTTTCAGTGGTGTCAACATTTGTGGTGTTTGTAAAATGCTTTCACTTGGAGGTGGATGTTGTGGTGGGTGGAGATAAAGGACTACCTGCGACTACCCCGACTCTGCCTTCATTTCAGAGCTGGGAGGAGGTGGCAGCTCAGCACCACTCTACCACCCCTGAAGTGTCGTCACCCGGAGCGCAGATCTGCCTCCTGGAATGAGGGAGAAGCAGACTGATCGCCATTCTCTGGTTCTGTGATCATTAAGGACCCTTCCAGCATAACCCATTCTCTGGTTCTTTGACCTTTAAGGACCCTCCTGGCCCAACAAGCCCTTCTGATTCCACGGCTCTGTGATTTTCTGACCCTTCCAACCATTCCAGGATTCCATCATCTCTAAGGTACCTTCCCAATTCATTCTGTGATTCTTAAGGACTCTTCCAACCCTTCATGGGCAGGACATGACACACATGTTCCATCAGCAAGAAAGAAAGAAAGAAAGAAGGGCGCAATCCACAATTAAATCTCTCCTAATGAGGGCATTGCTGCACTGCTGTTAAGGTTTCGAGGCTTTTCAAGTGAAACCTTGCTCCTTAATGCACCAACTATCGCTGTGCTTTGCTGTCCAAGCAAACACGTTGGAGGATATTTTGTGGTATTTGTTCTCCCTCAGAGCACCACGTTTCCTCCTCAAATTTCCTCATTTTTTCCCTCATTTTTCCCTTCATAATTCCTTTTTTTGGTCACATTTCCCTCTTTTGTCCTCACTTTCTCCTTTTTCTCTCTCCTTACACTCCTCCACTTTCCCCACATATTTTTTCCCATTTCTCCTCTTTTTTCACCTTTTCCCATTTTTTTCCTTCACATTTCCTCATTTTTCCCCCATTTATTTTCCCTTCTCATTTCTCCCAATTTTCCCTTCACTTTCCACTCAGATTTCCTCATTTTTCTCTTCCCGTTTCCTCACCTTTCTCCATTTTTCCCACTCATTTTTTCATTCTTCCTTATTTTTCCCTATTTATTTATCTCTTCTTTTTCCCTTCACATTTCATCCCTTTCCTCATTTTCCTCTCCTTTTCCTTCACTTTTCCCCTCTACTGTCTCCATTTTTCCTTCACTATTCCTTATTCTTTTTCCTTTTCCCCCATTTCCCCTCTGTTTTCCCCCTTTTCCCCCCAGAATCGAACATCCCTTCCATGTTAATCACAGCCCCTCGAGGAGCAGCAGAGGGACGGGGTCACGCTTAGGGCTGGGTCAGGGGTCAGAGGTCACGGTGTCAGGGCCGCGCACCAAGAGCAGGCCGCGGCTCCATGGCAACCGCAGCTTCCGCCGTCGCCGCCCAATCAGGTGCAGATACGAATATGATTGACGGCGCAGGGAGCGAGAGGGCTTGCGGCAATTCACCAATGGGATTTGGGGTTGGGCGCGAGGCGGGGCGGCGAGGCCCAATGGGAACTGCGGAAAGGCCGCGCCTCTGGGAGCGTTCGACTAAAGGCGCTTCCGGTGGGCAGTGCTTTGGCGTACAGCCAATCAGTGCCTTCCGTGGGCGGGCCTAACGGCACTGTTGTGGCCAATCGGCGGCGGGCACGGTGCGCCTGCGTATTGCGCGCTCGAGCGGCTGGCTGAGCGGAGCCTCGGCGCTGCGGCGGAGCACGACATGGAGCCGGGATACGGCGGTACGTGCGGGCTGGGGGCTGCGGGGGGCGGCCGGGCCTTCCGCGGTACCTCCCGGGGCTTTTCCGATCCCGCGGGGCCTCCTCGCCGCATCAACAACGGTTAAATCTGAGGGGAGACGCTGTGCCCGCCCTCTGTGAGGGGGAGCCGCAGCCCATTGGCTGAGCGGAGTGTCGCTCAGCGCGGGGCGGCCGCTGGTTGGCTGATGGGTTGCGAGTCTCCGGGGGATGGGGGCGATAATAGGGGAAAAAAAAACGGGGAGGGCGGAGGGGGGGATTCGGTTCTCCCCCTGTTGTGGATTCCCCTCGTGGGGGTGTTTTGGGGGGGGGGAGCGGAGCGGGGCCCGGTGCTGGAGGAGCCTCAAAATGGCGGCGGTGCGGCCACGCCCCAGCAGAACCCCTCAAAAAACACTGAGAGGCGGGGGGGGGGGAGGGCTGGAGGGGTCATTGCGACCCCCGCTGCGCGAGGTGACCTCATAAAATGGGGGAGTGGTGGGTTGAGGGAGAAGGGCGTTGAGCTCAGAAAGTGGGGATTTAGGTTTGATGTGAGGAGGGAAGGTTTTATTGCCTTCAAGGACCTTTCCAGCCCAACTCGTACTTTGATCTTTCAGGACCCTTCCAACCCGACCGTTTTGTTGAGATTTGAGACCCCTTTATACCCAACCATTCTGTGGCACTGTGGTTTTATCACCTTCAAGGACCTTTCCGGCCCATTCTGTGGTTCTGTGATCTTTAAGGACCCTTCCAACCTAAGTCCTGCTGTGATGGTGCAGTTCTGTGATCTTCAAAGACTCTTCCAACCCAACTCATTCTGTGATTTTTCTGATCTTTAAGGACCTTTCCAACCCAACCCATTCTGTGGTTCTGCGATCTTCAAACACCCTCCCACCCCAAGCATTCTGTGATTCCATGGTTCTGTGACCTTTAAAGCCCCTTCCAGCCCATTCTGTCATTCTTTGGTTCTGTGATTTTTAAGGGCTATTCAACTCAGCCATCCCATGGAATAGCTGTGGCACATCTGACCTAAAACCAGGCCTTTTGGCCTCAAAATCCACCTCATGCTCTGCCCCCTGTGATGCATTGTGTAGATCATTTTATTAAGAGATTGATAATGCGCTGGATATAAAAACTGCCTTTTATTTCCCAAATATTTCACGAGTTTTCTTCTTGGGAGATACCTGCTGATAAGACACTGCTGACATTGGGTTGTTAATAACTGCTCACTAGGGTAGCACAGACCTCGTTCAGCTCTCTGAGTAGGTGTTCCCTAGGGAAAGGGTTCAGCTGGGCTTTGTTTTCTGATTGGTTTTATGGTAATTAAGGGCAGGAAGTGAAACTGTGCTGGAAAAACACCAAATCCTGAAACCAGCTTCCTTACTTTGTGTTCTTCTTGCAGGTTATGGCTCCTGGAGTACTGGAGCCACCAACACACAAGGTGAGTTGCTTTATATTGATATATACATTAAAAAACAAACAAACAAACAAAAAAGTGGGGAATTATCTCTCGGAACTGAATCCATCTTTCTTCTCTCCCTCAGGTACCTACGCAACGGGTGCGACAGGCTGGCAAGGTGGGTGCTACACAGAGCTGCCATCCCAAAAAAGACCCCCAAGCCACTGTCTGGGAGCAGACAAAGGGGGAAGATGATGCAGCAAGACAGCAGCCTTAACTCCTGTTGGTTTTTCTGTAGGCATAGCGGCAAAGGAGAACTACGAGGGGTCCTCGTGGCAGAGCTGGCAGTCCCACTACGAGAGCCCCAGGGCTGACATGGGGAAGGCTGCACAAGGTCAGAGGTCCCTTCTAACCCAAACCATTCTGTGACCTTCAAGGACCCTTCCAATCCAAACCATTCTATCATTCTATGGTTCTGTAATCCTTAAGGACCTTTCCAACCCAACCATTCTGTGATTTCATGGTTCTTTTAAGGACCTTCCAAGCCAACCTATTCCATCATTCCACGATCTCTAAGGACCCTTCCAACACAAGCTGTTCTATGGTTCTGGAACTTTTAAATTCAGCCAGCTCTAGGATTCCATGGTTCTGTGTCCTTTAAGGTCCATTCCAACTGAACGTGTTCTAGGATTCCATGTTTCTGTGACCTTTAAGAACCATTTCAACCAAACCAATTCTAGGGTTCCATGGTTCTGTGATCTTTAAGGACCATTCCAACCAAACCACTTCTAAGGTTCCATGGTTCTGTGTCCTTTAAGGACCATTCCAACCCATTCAGTTCTTGGATTCCATGGTTCTGTGACCTTTAAGGACAGTTCCATCCCAACAAATTCTAGGGCTCCATGGTTCTGTGACCCTTAAGGACCATTCCAAACCAACCAATTCTAGAGCTTCATGGTTCTGTGACCTTTAAGGACAATTCCAACCCAACCAGTTCTAGTGTTCCATGGTTCTGTGACCTTTAAGGACCTTTCCAACCCAACCAACTCTAGGGTTCCATGGTTCTTTGACCTTTAAGGACCATTCTAACCCAACCAATTCTAGGATTCCGTGGTTCTTTGATCTTTAAGTACCTTTTCAACCAAATGATTCTGTCAGTTGTTCTATAATCTTCAAGGAACTTTTGCACTCAACCACTATATGGTTCTGTGATCTTTAGGGACCCAACCCATTCCACGGTTCTGTGATCTTCAAAGTTCTTTCCAACCCTTCCCTAGATTGTATGTTCTGTAAGGATCTTTCCAACCCCACCCCTTCCAAGATTGTATGATCTTTAAGGACTCTTCCAGCCCAATCCATTGCATGGTTGTATGATTTTGAAGGATTCTTCCAACGCAATCCAGTCTGTGGTTATGTGATCTTTAAGGACTCATCCAACCCAACCATTCCATACTTCCATGATCTTTAATGACCCGTCCAACCCAATCCATTCTGTGATTCCGTGATCTTTAAGGACCCTTCCACCCCCAGCATTCCATCATCCCCTGGTTCCAACACCCAAACCCACCCCCAGACCCCAACACCTTCGCGTTGCCGCCCTCACCCCGACTCCCCTCCCTCCAGGCTACGAAGGTTATGACTACTACAGTGCCCCGAGCACAGCCTCCAGCACCGCTGCCACCTACAGCTACGGCCCCACTGCCACCCCCAGCTCCTGGGACACCCCCAAAGCCCCCGAGCTGCCCCTCAGCGACATCGGCATCGCCTCGTACAGCAGCGAGCCCGCTCCCAGCGACAACTCCGACTCCATCATCGCCAAAATCAACCAGCGCCTCGACATGCTGTCCAAGGAGGGCAGCGGCGGGGCCGGGGAGGGCGTGGAGGAGCAGGAGAGGTGAGTGTGCCATTCTGCTTGAGTTACTAACGCTGACAAGAAGCAAATTTTGGTCTGGTGTGGTTTTAATTTCAAATTG